CTATCGAGCTGCTCTCCATGATACAGATTTTCAGAACGCGACTGCCAGTGATAATATCACATGGCATTTTATCCCAGCCGCAGCTCCACATTTCGGAGGAATGTGGGAGGCGGGAGTTCGTAGTCTCAAGCATCACTTGCGCCGCGTTCTGAAAGATCATACTCTCGGCTTTGAGGAGTTTACAACTCTACTCTATCGGGTTGAAGCGTGCCTAAATTCTCGTCCGATTGCGCCTCTGAACGACACTCTCGATAATTATGAACCGTTGACGCCGGGTCATTTCTTGATCGGATCCGCAATAACTGCAAGTCCTGAGCCCTCACTGCTCGATGTGAAAGAAAACCGCCTCACTCGATGGCAGCTCATTCGGCAACTCTCGGAAAGATTTTGGAAACTATGGGCTCATGATTATGTTAATACGCTTCAGCAAAGGAGCAAATGGCGACGGATTCAGACGCCGATCAGGGAAGGACAATTCGTCCTTCTTCGCAATCCCGCATTGCCTCCGTGCAAATGGGAGCTGGGAAGAGTGACTAGGTGTCATCCCGGACGAGATGGGTTGCCGCGTGTCGTTACCGTCAAAACGGCAACCGCGGAATACTTGCGACCGATTGTCAAGATATGCGTGCTCCCGATTGAGGGCGAATCGGATACGTCTTGAGCTCCAGATCTATCCAAAAGGAAGCAGGAGGAAGGAAGAGATGACAGCCTTCTCCGCTGTTTAGCATCTGCTCTGGAGGCCTTTCAATTTTTTTTCTTTTTTTAATTTTTTTTCCTTCTGTATGTTATTGATTGTGTATGGTATAGCGTGCGTCCGTTTCTCTTTTATTCTCTTCTAAATTGTATTCATTTTCTTTTCATTTTCATGCGTCAATATGATATCACTATATCATATGTCATCAAATGCGTCCGTTCATTTCATGCGTCAAGTGCGTCCTTAAATGACACACGGGGATCGCCGCAAGGCGGGCGGCAACTGCTCAGATCATCTTGGCCACGCGACGTCTCGTGCGGCCCTGGATACTCGTTTCGAAACACGAGTTTCGAGGCGAGCGGTATGTTCGGGATTCTGCTCGGCTCTTTCGGCTTGCTTCTGGAATATTCCTACGGAATATTCTAGAAGCATTCTAATAATAAGATCGAGTGAGCTGAGAGACCGCATGACAACAATGTCTCGCGAGCGATGTGTTGTGCCGCCGAAATCAAAACATGATTCGGCGAATATCCGCGCAATTACTTGGAATCGGCGACACATCACAATACCGCTACATCATCATGTATCAGAGCCGATTCTCGACAATAATAAATCTCGCTCAACTCTCGCGACCGTTTTCTCGCTGAACCAATGAGATCGGCCAGCGTAGCCGACGCGACATTTATAAAACGACCGTGTAAGAAATCGACCGTTCAGAGCACAAAAATCTTGTATCACGTTCGTATAACGATATAGGACTCCGCGATCTCATTCCAGCCTTAACGACTGCTTCTTCGCGTGTCCGATCGTTTTCCATCAAAGACGAGTTGTGGCTAAAGCTACTCTTATCGTTTTATTATTCACTAATAAAGATTGGCATTACTTGTTAAGTTTAATTATTGCACGTGCTCAGCTTCTAAACTCTCCTTTTTTTTTGTATGTTTAGGCGCTCGCATTTTTGTCTCAGGTTTTCGCACGTAGCTGATTGTTTTGTCATGTTTTCCGGGTTCCGGTTTGAAAAAAAAAGCGAACCTGGCAGGTGCGCGTGCAGACACCATGCAGCCCCCCGGGCTTGTGTCGTCTGAGGCGAAAGACACGCGCCAAAAAAAAAACAAATATTCGCACGTTCTAATGAACCGGTGCGTATAAAAAAGGTGCGAGATATAAACAGGCGTATTTGGAATATGCCGCGAATTAGCAGGCTATTGTAATAGCCGGCACAAGCGAAAAAATAGTCAGCGGTATTTCAGCCGGCGTCTTCTGAGTCAGCGCGAGGATTGTCGCCAAAGATACGATCGGAATTCCCTTTTTAACAAAAAGAGCAATTTTCCTAGAGGAAGCGCACTGTTATATACCTGTATCATTCTTTTGTCGGCGAATGGTCGCGCATTCTCACACATCCGGTAGAAAAAACAACTTTAAGAACGCTTAATCCGTCAGGTCCTACTATTTACCTCAATATTTACCGAGTGTGTTTTTCGACGATAAACCCTAATAATTTAAAAAATCCTTCTTTCCTGGGAGAAGCGTTTTGTCCTAGGAGAGAGAGAGAGGAGTAAGATTTTGAGAGTATATATACGAGGAGAAAACTCTGCGGTTTTGCATTTTCCGTCAGTTTTCTGCCGTGAGACTCCGATACAATGTCACGAGTGGGTACGTTAGTGCGCCAGTTCATTGTTACGGCTTCAAACGCCGCGAATATCGACAGCGTTCGATATTTGACGCGTATTTCCGGCGATGACGCGGAAAATTATAACATATTTTATTCTTTTGCATGCGCTTGTAGCAGTACGCTGCTAGTGCTTTTGTGTAAGTGTGAAAAATTTCGGAGTGATCCGAAATTAGCGGAAATAATCCGTGAAATTCTAATATTTCGACGGGATTTTGAAGAGAACTTCGAGAACGTGTGGGGTATTATCGCCGACGCGATATCTTACAACAGGTAAGTTAAAACATATCAATTTTATAACGAAAACTAAAACTAAGTAATTTACGCGAATTTTTAGAATAATCATTGTTTTTATCGTTTTATAAGAGCGAGTCTCGTAGCCGTCGATAGCAGTGGCGAGGAGGCGCTTGAGCTTCTTCCACGGGGTCGTAAACGCCTCGCGGAGGAACCAGCTTACCCGAGTCAGGCGACTTCGCGTAAGTACAAATCGGGGGAGAGAGGATTTAAGGCAGTTTATCAGGTAAATTATTTAACACCAAAATAATTTTTTCGTAATAATGCTCAGTCATCGGAAGCCGACTTATGGGATTCCGATAGCATCTGCAGCGTGGAAACGCTTGTGAACGAGCCCGTCATCGTCGCTGCTGAACCCATAGGTAAGACGGTATAAATATTTATAAAATAACAAAAGTTGCCATGTTAAAATTGATTCATGCGATATAAGTATAATTTTATTTTCAGAAAACATCGAAAATGATGCCGGCGCTAGCGAAACGCTAGGCGCCGCCGCTACCGGTGCGGATGACGCCGACGGTGACGGCGACGAGGAGGATGTCGACAACGATGACACCGACGACGACGACGACACCGACGACGGCGATAGCGTCGCCGGAGACGGTGGAGATAGATCCGACAGCGACGACGACGACGACGACGAGGATGATGACGACGGCGATGATGGCAACGTCGTCGTCGTCGTCAATGACGGCGGCAACGATGTCAATGTCGACGAAGACGGCATCGAGGAGAGTAATGTGGGAGAGGAACGCGACGACGACGACGACAATGCCGGGGGCAATGGAGAAAACATTCGCCGCTATCGAGAGCCGCTTTCTTTAGCATTAACAGGTGAGAACTTTTGCGCGCAAACCCACGCGGAATTCTCTAGATGTTTATTTACGTTTAGTTTACGTTTGAATTTAATCAAAACTGATTGTAAATGAAATTAGAACCGAGTTACTCGCCGGTTAGCCTCCATTCCAACGAAGGGGAAGATCGTATATCATATATTCTCGAGGAGGAAAGAGAAGCGGAATGGGAAAGAATATTGTGGGAGGGTAACGCGGAAATCTCCCCGGAATTACGAATTTTTCCCGATTCCCCCATATGGGGTTCTAGTCAGGAATTATCGTATTTAAATTTAACGCCGGAAGAGTAAATTCGAACGTAAGTTATAAGATGGCTTAAAATATTAAATATTTTTTACAGAGCTCGCGTTTCTAATTATTTTGCATTATTCTTTTACAGTACAACAAGGAGGCACACGCGGACGCGTTCTCTCCTCCTC